TTAATTAGCTGACTAGATTGGGACACAGGGAGCCTACAATGTTGAACTTTGTCATGATATTCTAATTTTGTGAAATACTGGATTTGGGTTTTTTTTTTTGTCTTTAATCCATAATCATCAAAATTGAAACAAATAAAGGCTTGAAATATTTCACTTTGTGTGTAGTGAACTAATATAACATACAAGTTTCACTTTTTGAAACAAATTATTGAAATAAATGGACTTTTCCTTGATATTCTAATTTTTTGGCACATACCTGTATTATGTAGACATGAAAGCAGCCATCGAATTCCTGGATTTAATTGTTTTGTTCAGCAGCTTCAGGCATACATCAACACAATATCGCAGTGAAATCACAGTGTTACTACTGTTGTTACTTTTGCATTAAGTTTAAGAGATTTGTATTATTATTTGCTTCATGAGATTTCACAGCTCAAACATTATTATAATTTTTTCTAAATAATATTTGATTCTGGGGACACAATTTTACTTTATCTTGTGTGGTATCTGTCAAATTGGAACCTTTTCATTTCTAAAATCAGTAGTATTAATCATAATACAATTAGGTTGCTCACACTTGTGCCTTATACCATTTCTGACATATGATGTGCACACTTCCTTACCCAAAATTACACTACAATAGCTGCATCTACAGGCCTTCTCATAGGTACTCAAAAATGGCTTAAGCCCAGTTCTTGATTAGGAAGCTGGAGTTTTCATGGGAACATGTGTTTCAAACGTGGGTATTGGGAACTTTGCATCAGGAGTCCCCCTCTCCCATACACTCAGTGACACTGGATTCTAGATTTGTGTCAGACTTGTAGAACTCAATTTCATACTTGTATGTATATTCAATAGCCTCACTCAGAGAAATTATAAATCAGTGAGAGCAGAACAGGAAATGGATATGAGGTATTATTGATATGAAGTCAAAACCCCTCTCCTCTTTTATAACACCTACACATGGCTGAGGTCATGCCTAACTAAGCCACTGCTAAGACTAGTGAGTCTTTGTGTTTGTGCTGGAGACTGATCTGCTCTAAAGGGAGAACTGATCCCAGCACAGGCTGACCAAGATAAACTCACCCTTCAGGTCTACTCACCTTGTTAGATTTAAGGGATTCAGGGAGATGTGTAGCATGTAATATGTTTAAGGAAGACACCATCACAGGTGTTTAATCTAAACCAACAACATGAGTGAGACAATTTTCTGTTATGTCCCATCCCTGAAATTAAAGAAAATAAACACAGGAATGTGGCTGAATGACATTTGAGAAAATGTTATACCATGCCATGCCTCTGTCAGTCTGACTGAAAGGTGAAGACTAACTTTTCTCTCAATAAACTTGAATGTGATCTTCCCTGTCCAGTGACCTTCACAGGAATAAGCATTTGACCAAGATGGATGAAAGGGCCTTTGCAGGCACCATCAGAGGCCCCGTGCTCCTGTAAGTACCTAAAGGCTCAAACATTTGACCCTCTCTTATCAGCTGTTTTTATTTACACACACAGTACAAAAAGTCATCATAAAGCCATCAGTGACATCATTGATGTGATGTTGAATAAAGCAAACTGTCTTGTCCAAACAGGTTTGTCCAGATAAATCTGGATTTCAGTGGAATGTTTATTCAGTATACTCAGGAGTTTTACTGCTACAGCTGCAATATACTTGGTCTAGTATGACCAGAAGCTAAGGATAGTTAATGATGGATAATGTTAGCAAGCTGTGTAACTTATAATCCTATGAGAGTTTTATGACAAATTACCTCTTGTTGTGCTATTGTAATGCTACATTTTAGTATTATATACTGTATAACTTTGTTTACACTTGTAGTTGCAGTGGCTCGTGTTACATGATCTTGCTTTAAGCAGTGTGACATCTGAAGAAGTACCTGTTGCTTTCTTGCTGAGAGTTAATTGAAAGATTAATACCAGTTTTTGTAAGGATTAAATATAAGTTAGTTAATGAGCTTTAGAGGTGCTGGTAAGTAGAGTTGTTGCCTGTTTGGACACCACCAGGCTACTTTCCCCTTGCTTACACTCCTTGTACAACACTGTTAACTGCTGTAGCTTTGTATTTATGTACAGACCTGAACGTGGCATTGATCTCTTTTCTTCTAGCTCTCGGCAAATATACCAATTTCAATGATATTTCAAATTTTCATATAACAATGCATTTTAATACATACATCAAGTTTGGTAATTCTATTATTCACACCATGCCATGATGTATACCAACAACTTTATGATCCTAATGTGCAAATTGGATGAAATTTGGACACTGTATCATCAAAAAGTAAAATCATTCCTCCACAACTGCATTTTTGACCAGGACATATGACTCGTAATGTGTGCAAGTATGGGGGAGAATCTTTGGGCGTTCCTCTAGTACTAAATCGAGCCTCCGTCTTTAGACATCTTTGATGCCACAACCCTTTATGACAGCTACAGTCTCTAGCTGTTGTTGTGGCTCTGATCTAGCTGATAAGTGTCTGGCTGGGCAAATGGGCTTCCTGTATAGGCATGCTTCCTCTGTTCCACTGAGGAACATGTCCTGAATGAGGTCACCTCCATGAAGTCATGAGCTAAACCTCTGGCAATGACTAAATCAGACCAACACTCATAGGGTATGCTACTTTTTTTTTTTACAGTCATACACAGTGGGCCCCGTGAGAGGAAAAGAGAGCAGGCAAAAGAGAACAGGGGCGAGCAAATGGGACTACAACAGAACAACGGGGCTCTTAATTTCTTTGTCTTGTTAGTCAGTCAAATTAATCAACGGCTTAGAGAATTAATGGGTTAGGAAACAGAAAACAAAAGAAAACTTGGCCCCTGGAAGGGGGCAGCGTCAGGTGCTGTACAGCAGAATGTAATGTAATGGGATCACACAGAATGGTGGTGAGATTGTCAGTCCCCCACTTGTCTTTGTCCCAATAAAGTTGGGCTAGCTTTGGAATGATGTCCGAGTGCACAAAATAACATGTATCTGCTTGAAGATGATAAAAGAGAGGAGGGCTCACTGCTGTGTAATCGATCTGTGAGCTCTCTAGTCTCATCATGTCTAGTTCCTCTGTAGACATTCTTTTTTTTTTTATCCTTTTTTTGTGCCTTTGGAGTGATCTTGGCTGGGTGCCCACTTCTTTGGAGAGCAGCCACAATACCAAATCATCTCCATTTATAGACAATATGTCTAAGCGTGGACTGGTGAATATCTAGTCTTTGAGATGACTCTGTAACCCTTTCCAGCTACATGCAAATCAACAACTCTTGATCATAGGTCTTTTGACATCTCTTTTTGTGAGGCCTGGGTCATATCAGCTGTTTCTGCTTGTGAATAGCACATTGACACTGGTCGAGTGTTTTATTGGTCAGTGTTGTTTTAAACCACACCTCAATTTTTGTGTCATTGACTGGGCTCCAGGTTTGCTAACACCTGTCTCCAGTTGACATTTAGTGATATCGTACTTTTTCCACTATAACTTTTGTGTTTGTTGATATATGCAACTTTGGTGAAGATCAGATCACATTTCATGATCAATTTATATAAAAAAAACCAAGAAATTGCACAGTGACATTACTTTTTTGCGACTGCTCAGTTAACGCCTCATTAAGATTCAGTCACATAGCTTTTCATACTTAACCCCTAGCAGAAAAGTCAAGATGTTGTTTTTTTTTACCTGTTCTCCAGCAGCAGGTTAGATTTCCATAGGTATCACTATGATCCCGGGGTTGGCCCCTGTCTGCTCGTAAAGATAAAATATTGTATTTTTCTGGGGCAAAACAACAAATATCTCTGCAGATTATGAACCCAGTGACAAAGAGGAGCAGAGCAGAGCTGTACTGTGAGAATGAGGGATTTTAACACTGGTTTCTCTCTTGTAGAAAACAATTTGTAATGCCAGGTAGAAATCAGACATGTGAGATCACAAAACTACCTTTGAAGATGCACCCTGCTGTTGAAAAACCAGTAACATTAAAATGATGTATGTATTTTATATTATTTTCATAAGCTCTTTGATCTGTCTTACAGTGACGTGTCCCTGACAGGGATTAGTTCACTGCCAACCACAGGCATGGAGTCACTTCGGGAGCTGAAGGCACGAAATACTTGGGCTCTCAAGAAACTTCCCCCCATCAAAACCTTCAAACACCTCTCCACGGCCAACCTCACCTACCCCAGCCACTGCTGCGGCTTCAAAAACCTCAGAAAGAAACGAGGGTGAGTTTCCATTAGATCTTCATTATTTATTACACAAAGTTACAAGAGTCATAAAAGTCAAATGGAGGCATTACAATGATAGGCTGTGTCTTGCAGTCGTGTAAACTGGAAAACCATGACAGCGAGTGGGGCCATGGGTGGAACCAAGGAGGTGGCCAGGGGTGGGACTGGCCACCCCCAGAATATGATTTGCCACCCCTGGTGTACCCCTGCCAAAATATGATGCTCATCAGTATATCAAATAGTATCAAATGAGTTTTATTTTATATCATGCGTGCAGCATGACGTTTGCATTCTTTTCTCCTACTCTGTTGTTGTGGAGTGGAGTTGTGATAAAGAAAGCACTATGTGTTTCTCATTACGCAAAATAAACAATTTGATTTTTTTTTAATGTTTAATGTCTGGTTTATTATTTCATGGAACTAGGGGTTAAACTTTTTACATGTATTTCAAATGTGCCACCCCATCCAACATTTTCTAGATCCATCCCTGAGTGGGGTAGCTGCTCTTTTATGGTGTCAATCTTGGCAGGGATTGAATAAATTCTATGATGTGTTAACTTAAAACTTCTTACAGTACTTCCATACTTACTTCCACTCATTGGTGTTATTGTAGGAAGAAGGTTGAGTCAGACCAATAATGACTCTCAAACCAGGAATCCCATTTCTTTGTCAGGATATAAACATGATTTGACTGAACACTTACTGCTAGTGAAGATTGCAGACAGGCCTTTTTTATCTAATGACCTGCAGTATTATTTCATGAACTGTCTTTTGTGTATTCATGTGTATGTGTTTTTCAGCTTCTTGGAGTATATCATCTGTAACCTGACTGCTTTTTATGACCAGCATCACAAGCGCTCTGTGGGGCCCCTCCGCATGCCGTCTCTCCAAGGGGACAGCGTGGTGGAAACAGTCCCAGACCAAGAGCCAAATGACAGAGGTCAATTTCATGGTAGCTTCCACTACCGTGCCTACTTTGGGGGCCAGCCAGATGAGGATGTGGGTTTTGGAGAGACCCTCAAGAACCCCCAGGAGGACACCAGCCAAGAGTTTGACAGTCATTATGATTATGTGGTGTGTGAGGAGGGAGAGGAGGTGGCGTGTGCACCAGTGCCCGATGAGTTCAATCCTTGTGAGGACATAATGGGTTTTGGCTTCCTGCGAGTGTCTGTGTGGTTTGTGAGTCTGCTGGCCGTTCTAGGCAACATGGTGGTGCTCCTGGTGCTGCTCACCAGCCACTACAAGCTCTCGGTCTCCCGCTTCCTCATGTGTCACCTGGCCTTTGCAGATCTGTGCATGGGGATTTATCTGCTGCTTATTGCCTCTGTAGACCTCCACACGCGATCTGAGTATTTCAACCACGCCATAGACTGGCAAACGGGGCCTGGTTGTGGACTTGCGGGGTTTTTTACGGTCTTTGCCAGCGAACTGTCTGTCTACACCTTGACAGTGATCACCCTTGAGAGGTGGTATGCTATTACCTTTGCTATGCAGCTGGACCGTAAGCTGTGCCTGCACCATGCAGCAGCTGTCATGCTAGGTGGCTGGATCTTCTGCCTCATCCTGGCACTGCTTCCATTGTTTGGGGTGAGCAGTTACCAGAAGGTCAGCATCTGTCTCCCAATGGACACCCAGTCTACAGTGGCGCAGGTCTACATCTTGTCAGTGCTGGTCCTCAACATCCTGGCATTTCTTGTTATCTGTGCTTGCTACTCTAAAATCTACTGCACAGTACGAAACCCTCACTACCTCTCTGGATCTAAGGATGCCAACATCGCCAAACGCATGGCCATCCTCATCTTTACTGACTTCTTGTGTATGGCACCAATCTCCTTCTACGCCATGTCAGCTGTGCTGGATCAGCCGCTCATCACTGTCTCTAAATCCAAGATTCTATTGGTGCTGTTTTACCCGCTCAATTCCTGTGCCAACCCATTTCTCTACGCCATTTTCACCAAGGCCTTCATGGGAGACATATTCATCCTGCTCAGTAAGGTGGGCCTATGTCAACAGCGGGCACAGTTGTTCAGAGGCCAGACAGTCTCATCAAAGGGCAGCAGTGGGACATCTCAGGGCCGTAGAGATAAGTTTAGGAAAAGAGGAAGTGGAGGCCAGAAGGAGATGCCTATCCACCTGAAGATGTGCTCTGGACATATGTGCCAGCAAGCACTCAGCCAGCAGATGAGCCCCGAAGAGCATCAGAGTCTGGACATGTGAGTCAAACACCAGCTTTAAGTAGCAAAGAAAGATCAATTCTGCTGGAGGACAAGAGGCTTTGAAGTGCTTATAGACAGAGCTGTGTAGACATTTATCAGAAAGGTCCAGGATCCTCTATCTGTTTCAGATTTCAAGCCAAGTTCAGCTGTTTTCACAACTTTGGCTATGATGATTTTATAGTTCCAATTTTTGGAGAATATCAAGTGTCACTAAAATATAAGCATGACTTCATCTCACTTATAGACTTTTTATTCTGACAGACTGCTGCAATAAAACAGATTATTGTTAGGCTAAAAGTAAAGGCAAAACCTCAAACATACATTCTGTATATAACTATGAATAAAATCTATTTTTCCAGCATCTTTAATTATATATCTATTTTAACTCAAATTATACAAATTGTTAGAGGCATTTCATTTTTCTATTATAAAAAGACTTATGGGGTTCACTATTTATAATTGGTAGAAAGAAGAACAGCCTGCTGGCTCAGTGCCGTTCACAGTGGAAGCTTTATACCTTTTATATATTGTAAATATATAACACTGTCGGGGGATTCATAGATGAAGACAGAATGTTCTTGTGCATTTTTGAAGTGTGTCTACCTGAAACTGAAAAGTACATATGGACTAGTACAGGACTTAACTGTGATGTTGGACAACAGACAAGTGTTTTCCTGTGAAAGTGGACTGAACTGTAATTCATCAAATGCCCCTATTTTTGTACTTTATATGATTTTTTATGCTACTAAACATAATATAGTTTACCTCTGTCTCCCATGAGCAAGTGATCCGATTACAAGTAATTACAAGACATGTTTTGATTAATGCCCATCTCTCTACAAATTACAGATAGGTATGATAATATATACTGTTAAAGTCTGTCGCTTTTCATGATGCATGATGGTGATATTTTTCCATCCTCTTATGGAAACAAGTGACTAATGCAATCAGTGGAGAGAGCTTTGCCTTTGCAGGGAGAGCTTAAAGTAAGTACAGCTGAAAAACATGTGAGCTGCAGCGCTGTAACGTATGACAAGTTAAAGGACACCCTTTGCCAGTGGCCGCTAAACATTTGGTTAACATTTAATTTGCCAGGTGACATTTTTCCAAGTCCTGAGACTGCTGGGCAGCTTGTTTCAGTATATAAAATATAGTAGAGCATTCTTAACTATCACTCTACTGTACTGTATCTGAGTTGTTTAAACTTCAGAACTGGAAGGACGTGTAGTTTTAAAGATGAAAAAAATTAAGAGTGGCATCTGCTCACTGTGTTCCAGACTTAAACCACACTGCAAATTCCACCATGATCATCATCATCCAATCAGTTTCAGCTGACTCTTTTCCACAGCTCCATGTCCATCTCTTCCAGTGGCCCATTAACAAAAATTCACTGTGGACTCTTTAAGCGCCAAGCACACAGAGCTGGACCATGAGCGCCTCTTCCCTTCCACTGCCAGTTAATGTTAACTCACAGTTCATACTTGTGTGCATGCTAAAGTTAATAAAAGTCAAAGTCAACGCATATTTGTGTGGGTGTCTGGGTGAACATAAAGAGACTAAAATGGTTTCAGATACATACAGACCTATCTTAGACTGCACCTCTACTTACTGCAGGATTCATAAGGTTGGTTCTCAAACAGTTCTGAGTAGGTTCATGGGCTGGCCAAAAAGGGCTGAACAAACCGCTCAAGACTTGGACTGGATCTATTTTGACATTCTTCTTCTTCTTCTAGCTGTTTCTCAGGACTGCTTGATCATTCCCCTCTCTGTATTTCAAATAAATCCATTTCGGGGCCGTTCTTCAAATAGGCAAGACAGGGCCCAGTGATGTACCTCACTAACACCAGGTTATATCGCTGAACTCAAGTACAGTGAGAAAAGAAACATGAGAAGAAGTGAACAGAGAAACTGGAGTTGTCAGGTGCCTCAGTCACTTGGAAGAGGGGAAAGTCTTCAAGTATTCATCCAGATCTTGTTCCTGGGAACATAAAATCCCTGCATTTACGACGCCACTTCTTACGTCATTCCATGGGCCAGTAGAGATGGACAGTCTGCTTGAATAGTCAAGTTCCTCTCTCTTGCAGAAAGCTCTTGTCTGACTATTAGAGTGAACCACAAAGCTGGAAACAGTCATACCTTTGTTCTGCACGTAGTTTCACTTAAAACACACACACACAACCCAAGACAGGAGTTTTATATTTTTTGCATTCATCAATCACTTCACAGTGCCATTGGGTTACCTATGCATGAGCTACATTTGCACAGTAAAAGAAGACTACCCGTTTGTATTTTAACTATTGAGGTGTGGCTGTCTGGGCTGTAACAAGCTGTAGCACACCAGGGGCCTATTTCAAGAAGGCGGTTTAACAAACTCAGAGTTCAAACCTGAACTCTGAGTTGACTTACTCAGAGTTGGAAAACTCTGAGTTTTCGGTTTCAGAACAGCTGAAAAGAGTTGGTTTAATCAACTCTGAGTTGTCTGACTCAGAGTTAGGCGCGTGCCACGCGACTATAAAAACAACACGGCTGCAGCGGCGAAAGAGAAAGAGTTAGCTTGGGGGAAAATAGCTGCCCGAGTCAATGGGTACGTTTACATTTTAATCATACAGTGTTCGGTGTAAGTAATTACTAACTAATGTTAGTAATGTTATTATTTGTCACTTGTAAAGTAAGGAATGGTTCTTAATTCTTCAATAATTGAATGAGTAACTTCAGTAATTGCATAAAATACCGATTTTTGTACGAATTAAAAGTGCAGTTTTATGTCTACCCTTTCTTAAAATTCCTATTGTGGTTGATATGGGATTTGTAAAGTAATGATTAATAAATAATCCAGTACGTTTTATGGAGAGTAATTATTACATTAATCAAAATACTTTTTTAAAATTGACCCAACACTGATGTAATAATATAAGAATTGAATTTTAATTTTCATGTAGGTGCATTGATGGGAATATGTGTGCCATCAATGCATCCAACCGCATTAGGAAATCCTGAAGGGGATTCTAATTATTAGTTTATTTCCAGAGGTCACAGCAAGATGTTATTAACTGATCATCATTTTTCAGATTAGCCTTACTGAAACGAATTCAATACCACTAACCTGCAATCCTGTGAAACTCCTCTTTAATGGCTCTGAGGGGTTTGTGCCCAGGAAACCCAACAAAAATTCACAGAAAGCGCTTGAGGGTGAGGCACACTTTCCGAACTATTCTACATACTGTGGCCTTACTTGCTCTGCATCCCCGATGTTATAAAGAAAACTGCCGTTTGCAACAAATTGTAACGCAACACAAAGCATCTGCTCGGATGTAAGAGCACGGCCACGATGGGTGATGTGTCTGATGTATGGGGGGGTAAGATTATTGATATATGTTATGGACTCTCTAGAAAAACGGTACCGCTCAAATAAAAATACATGGGGATATGACAAAAAATCAACTCGTGGCCTCAATATCCTCTCCCGACGTAAATGCTATTCCCTGCGAATTAATACAGCGTCCTCCTCTACAGGATCCTCTATGAATGGACACGCCATTTTGGTCTCTGCGTGACGGAAACGTGTGCAATCTATGAATGTACTGAAAGATTAAATGAGGTATTAAACACCTTTCACTTTAAAAAGGGGCGGAGACCCGGAGGAAACTCTGAGTTTCCCGAACAAAACCTGCTCGCCAGCAGGTTAGGTTCACAGAGTAAGTTGCCGTAGTAACTGACTCTGAGTTTAGATTACCTCTCTTTGTGAAACGGGTTTAACTTACCCCGCTTCACGGGTTTAAGTTACCTCCGTTTCTGAAACCGAAAACTCCGAGTTGCCCTCATTTCGGGGTTAACAAACTCTGAGTTTCGACAAAACCGCCTTCTTGAAATAGGCCCCAGGTGTAGCATATGGCATGGTACCAAAACAATTACATTCAAATTCAAATTCAGCCTTCTGGCACAAGAGGGAAACCTGGCTATGTCAAAAACTAAAGTATTGCAATTATGTTTGCCCACTCCAGCAGTTGCACAGGACAGTTCTTGCCATTTACCTAATTTTAGGTTCAAGATCTCACAATAAATAACAACATATGCTGAGCTGTAAACAAATGAAGCACAGTAAAGATGCAGATTTGCATACTTTGGAACACAATATTTGAATTTTCATCTTCTGTCAAGGATGATTTATGACAACTATCTGCACATATTTTTCCTAAAATCCCTATGACCTATCAGTAGAGGTGTGGACTCAAATCATATATCTTGCACTGAAGCCTTGAATACAATGACTTATATAGTCTGGGGTACAATCAAAAACTGTTTTGTCCATTGTGTCTTCAGGTCACGTCTAAATCAGAATCAGAATCAGTTTTATTGGTCAGGTGTGTCGGACACACGAGGAAGTTGACTCTGGTACATCAGCTCTCAATGTGTATATACATATCCCCATATAAGGGGCAAGTAAACAGTAAAACAGTATAAGGCTGTGTAATATAACAAAATAAACAGTATTAACAGGCAGTAAACAATGCAGACAGACAAAGGAATGCTCATTGTAAAATGGGATAAGTAGGAATAAAAACAGAGTACTTAAAAATAGAGACCTGTACAGATCTGTCTAATCTGTACAATGTATATTTACAGGTATTGCACTGAGGATTATTCTCCAGTCACACTGTTGTTGGTTAAGTGTTCATCAGAGTGACAGCCTGGGGGAAGAAACTGTCCCTGTGCCTGGTTGTCTTAGTGCACAGTGACCTGTAAACGCCATCCAGAGGCGAGGAGTTCAAACAGATCATGTCCAGGTTGTGAGGGGTCTGCAGTGATCCTCTCCGCCCTCCTTTTGACCCGTGCGGTGTACAGGTCCTCCATGGAGGGCAGGCTCACACCAATGATCTTTTCTGCAGACCTGACTGTCCGCTGAAGTCTGTACTTGTCCTGTTTGGTTGCTGAGCCAAACCAGACAGTGATGGAGGTGCAGAGAACAGACTCGATGATTCCGCTGTAGAACTGTATCAGCAGCTCCTGGGGCAGGTCAAACTTCCTGAGCTGGCGCAGGAAGTACATCCTCTGCTGTGCCTTCTTGGTGATGGTCCTGATGTTGGACGTCCACTTCAGGTCACT